GTCTGTCTATCTGTCTGTCTGTCTGTCTATCTGTCTGTCTATCTGTCTATCTGTCTATCTGTCTGTCTGTCTGTCTGTCTATTTGCCTGCCTGCCTGTCTCTCTGTCTGTCTGTCTGTCTGTCTGTCTGTCTGCCTGCATGCCTACCTTTCTACCTGTCTGCGTGTCTGTTTGTCTTTCCCTGTTTGCCTGCCTGCCTGCCAGCATGCCTGTCTGTCCTCTGCCTGTCTTCCTTTTCGTGTCCAACACTAGTAACGCCAAAACCGTAAACAGGATTATAACGAGAATTGATATTACTATTCCGATCTGAATTTTGTCGTGGCCTCTCCACTTTTTAAAAATCTTTTAATTTTTGGGGAAATTTTACATGAAGCTCCTAGAACAGTTACAAAATTTTCTCAAACAATATCTCCAAAAGAGCAAAGTAACGTTTCCATTTTCAAAGTCTTTTTCATTTGTCATTTTCAAAGTATATCAAAGATATAACCGTAAAAGATAATTCATTGGATATAGTCACGAATCAACACTCCATTCTAAAGAAGACCATGCAAAAGTATTACACTTTGCATTGCCATGAATATATTTATGAACACTGGATACATCCAATTTATAGCTGTTGTGTTGAATTGTTTTTACTACTGTAAGACGATTGGAAATGTTACTGTTATAATGTTTAATTGCAATTGTAACAGAAAGTTGCTAATAACCGCGCCGTTGATGAGACTAAAGGTAAAAAAAGGATTGCAATAATGACGCATGTCCGATTTTAGCACCACTTGTTCATCTTTTTCAGCAACTTTTCTTCGGCCGGAAACGATCTAATTTTACATAATTTTCCTAATTAAAAATACGCTACAGAAAACTTGTGATGTACACAAAATATAAATTTATATTAGGTTTTTTCAAATTACTTGAGTATTTCTAAACACCAGAAAAATTTACCCAATTTTGAAAAAAAAGAAATTACAAAAGAAAACACAACTAGTTCGATGTATTAATATTACATGTTTATGAAGATAATTATGAAAGTGAATCCAACAATTTTACGTCAGCGTGTGGTGACTACGTAGCTTCAACCATGTATTTCTGGTTCATGAAATTTAAAACGTTTAACAAAAATGAGTCACTATCATTATTGTGTTGAAAAATCTACTATGTCTCAGTTTACCCCATTTGTAATCTTTTATTGAAGAAAAATGTCGAGATATTACAATTTTTATGAGAACGGATAATTTGTATTTTTTAGTCCCGCAGAAGTCACTTTTCATTCCAATATTAGGGTACAATTTAAGAATTTTTGCTGTATAATGTGTAACACATTAAGGTACAATATAAATCGGCATCTACATTTTCCCGTTGAAAATGTACCTCTAAGATGTTTATTCTCGCAAAATGTATGCGTATTTGACAGGAATTCCTTTAGTCACGTTGCTCCTCCATGTTTGAATCAGTGGATATTATCAATAGATTCTTTCTCAAAGTGGAAGCGCATGTATTGTTTATATTTATAGATATAACTAACCGTATGAATCATATTCATCAGTTGTCAACACCAAAATCCTCCTACAAAAATTCATTCAATTCTCGTACACTTTTACAACACATAACCACATGATACTATTATTACGAAGTCATTCACACATGTGCAGTTTTTAGCATTGTATATTTACTTCTAGAGGCTGTATAGAGTATTAGTAACAAAATAATATACATGTAATACCAATGAAATTACGCATTTGTAAATCTGGATATCTCATGTTTTTCTTATTGAATTCTACAATATGTTGCTGTATTTATGAATCTTTGTCCCAAATATTTTTTGTTTCTTTTGAGATATTGAACAAATGAACTGATTTTCATTATTTTCTCCTGAACTCAAAATTTAATCACATATTCTTCTCTCCATTCGTCACAGCAATTTTTTTTACATAAAAATCTCCACCTAACTTTACTTACTACAAAACAATACCATTGAAAAATTGTGGGAAAAAGGTTCAGTGTATTATAACTTTCTAGTTACAGTATTATACATTTTGAACTCCAAAAGATCAGCGAATGTCATTTGTCAACATGTTTTCTTTTGATTTAAAAATATCTTCCATTAAAAGCTGTCGTAAATATATTTCATTCACTACCTTCACCTTTGTAGTCGGGCGCATACTAATGTCCAGTGATAAACGGAAGAGTTAGGTAAACTGGACAAGTTTTAACTTTTTAATTTTTTCAATATTTAATTACATAATATCATTAGCTCACGAGTAAGGAACAGTTAGTACAGTTAATAAATTAAGTTAATTTGCATCATTTAAGCAAAATTTCTTGGGATGCCGAAAATGGTCTGAAAAATGTTCACTTATCTCACTTCGAGTGTAACTGAAGAAGTTAAATGAGCTATTAGAGTGCATTTTGCACACATTCTATATTATGGAGGAACATTCCAAAAGGTAAACGTGTTTATTTTTATGAATCATTTCATCATTTTTGTGAATTCCCCAAAATACAAGACTTTTTCACAATAATTATCCAATTTCGAATAAATTAACCTCTTTAAAAATAAATATTCTATTATAGATTCTATTTTCACGGTCATCTAA